CCAAAGCAGAACAACCCAGTCGACCTCCGTCGGATCGAGAGCTAGCCAGCGACGACACCATCACCGAGGCATCTGATCCCCCCTCGAGTCCAGTCCTTGACATTAGTGAAACGACCACTACGACTGCAGACGAAATCAGTCACCGCTCCACTGTTCGTGCTCTGGACGGCGATGACATGACCACCAAAGCAGAACAACCCAGTCGACCTCCGTCGGATCGAGAGCTAGCCAGCGACGACACCATCACCGAGGCATCTGATCCCCCCTCGAGTCCAGTCCTTGACATTAGTGAAACGACCACTACGACTGCAGACGAAATCAGTCACCGCTCCACTGTTCGTGCTCTGGACGGCGATGACATGACCACCAAAGCAGAACAACCCAGTCGACCTCCGTCGGATCGAGAGCTAGCCGGCGACGACGCCATCACCGAGGCATCTGATCCCCCCTCTAGTCCAGCCCTTGACATTAGTGAAACGACCACTACGACTGCAGACGACATCTATCACCCCTCCACTGTTCGTGTTCTGGGCAGCGACGACACAACCACCCATGCAGATGAACTCAGTCGTTCCCTGTCTGATCAAGACATTGGCGGTGACGACAAGTCAGGCGAAGCTAGTCGCCCTCTGTCTGTTCGAGTCCTTGATGACCACGACACGACCACCAAAACAGACGAACTCGGCCGTCCTCCGCCCGATGGAGGCCAGGACAGTGATTATGGCGATTATGGGAGTGATGGGGACTTTGAAAGTGATGATGAAGCGGCGAAATGACCAACGAAGCCGATGTCTAGTCCTGTCAACCTTCCAGTTTTTGAGATCTTGAAAGTGATGTACAAGGGTTGAGTTCCACAGACTAGAGGGATCACTAACGTTATTTCATTGTTGTAAGTACTATCACAACAACTACCTAAGCTGGGAATGCAATATAATGTTTCCGAAGTAATTGGTGCAGAACCATTACGCATAACATATAGTGCTCGAGGTGGGATCGAACTCGGGACATATTGACATGACTGGTAGCACTAACAGTAGGTGAACGTAAAAGTTGGGTGATACAGAGAAGATTAGCATGGCCCCTGCACAAGGATGACACGCATCGCACTTTTTTGGGTTATGATGTTTGCTCATTATTTACTTGGCCAGTCGTAGTCCGTCTCGAGTAGCATGGCCTCTGCGTGTTGAATTCAACGTGGGAGACTATTCCCCTTTGCCTAATAATGCATCCGAAGTAAACCAGCGCATGGCCTGAGCTCGCTGTCAAAACTCCCCCTACTAATCCATCCGAAGTAAACCAGCACATGGCCTGAGCTCGCTGTCAAAACTACCCCTACTACTATGAAGTTGACTGATAAAGTCGACATTGATGAAGCAGGTGTAGCGCCGTCCGCAGAAGCCCAAGCCCATCTGGGTGAAAATGGGGCTGCACACAAAAGACACACAAATGCCGACGAGGATTGTGGCACAAGTACATACATGACAAACCGAAATGGTGATGCAGTGGAGTTTTGGATAAGAAGCCTAGAGTACTGTATTCATTATATACCGGTATATCAAACATGCCTAGTACCTGGAACACCAAGCAATAGAACGGGAATACAACTTTTTGTTCGCAACAAATATATGGAACTTAAGAGGTGAGATTCATTATTGAATTGGCTCCAAGCGCTGCTGTAGCTGTTTCTTGGACGGGCTACGTACTGGACTGGGCGGGGTTGCAGGTTTCAGGGTCTTGGTTGCTTCCTTGCGCACTTGGGCCGCTGAGCTTCGCCCATTCGTCACGACAACTTCGGGGTCAGTTTTGGCAGTCGAAGTTTCTGGCATCGCTGTGCCTGTCATCATCACAGTCGCCATATTATAGTTGATCCATAGAGCTCATAAACCCAAACATACCAGGCATATTTGGCAACGGCAACGCGACCGAATGGTGCACGTCGCCAGAACCAGTGGGATGCTTTGTGCGACCTAGGAATATATCTTGGCTGTTTGGCCCCAGCAGCATTTTGTTTTTCACGAGCTCGTCGTCCTGGAGACATGTCAAAGTGCCGCAGGTGGCGTCGAGGTTGCACGCACGAGGCGCCGACGCGGCAAGCACTTGTTCGTTGTCCACGTTTTGCTCGTCCGCTTCTGCTTCGTCGTCGGCTTGAAAAAGCACTTGGATGCCATCGTCTGGCGGCAATTTCGCCGGAACTTGAGTCTAAGGATGCATACGTACACACAGCGTTACCACACACTGGTTCAGTTACCCTCACACCATAGTCCATCACACCTTCAAACGTCCACAGATTGTATATGTTGTGGTTGTGGTCGTACCCAGTCCGCGGGGGTGCCACGGTGGTGGACGACAAAATTGGCGCCGACGAGAAACGTCGTGAGGGTGCGATTCTTGAGAAACTGCGTCGGCGCAACCACGGCGGCCGTCTTCTTCGCGATCGTTTCGCTCATTTGAGCGTTCATGGACATCACGTTGAGCTCCGACAAGGACGCGGTCATGGCCAATATGAGCCCGGGCTGCATGATGTTGGCGTCTTGGTGCGTGGACATGCTCTGCAGCGCCAGCGCGCATACTTGCTTCATCATCACTGCGTTCGGTCCGCCCGCGTTTTGACCGAGGCGGATGAGTACCTAAACATATTAATACAACATTGGTCCACGATGGTCAACGTTATGCAACGTTGTCACAGACAGTGGAAATCGTACTTTGACGCCTTCGTTTGAAATGATGAGACCGCGGGACCGGCGGTGGCAACTCAAGTTGTACAGCGTCACTGCCACGTGTTCACGCGTGTCTGGCTGGCTGGACGTCGCACACGCGAGCAGGATCGCAATTGCGTTTGATTGGGACGACACTCTGGCTCGATTCACGTCGTGGCTGAGCACGGGAGGGGCTCCTTCGGCGTGCGACGCCTGCATCGTGTCCTTGGCGCTGGTCAGATTCCGCATGGTAAGGATCATGTGGTAGGCGAATTCTTCGCCGATGCGAGCAATCAACGACGCCCGCAGAGTCGTCGACTGGTCGTCACTGTCCAGACACAGGTTCACGATTGCTTCCATGATGCCGTCCTTGAGCATCTGGTCGTGTCCGAGGGGGTTCTTCGACAACGCGCTGAAGCAACTGACGATGTCCAGCTTGGCCGAGGTGCTGGCCGGTGTTTGTTTTGCAATCGCAGTCAACGCTCGCACGATGCCGTCTTCCACGAGTTGGAGCTCCACCCCTAAGGGGATTACGATCATACCATTTCGAGTGCGACAGAATTAAGCATGTATTCAATGTCAACGATTTTTATATATATGCACTTCTTACCAGCGTTCGTGCAAAGCAAACAGAGTAGTTCAGCGCAAATGATGCCAGTGTCTTTGCGGTGTTGGGCGGTCGAATTTGACTGTCCTGCGTCTGTGTTCTGTGACGAGGACGACTCGGCTTCTTCGGTCGTAGTAGATGAAGTAGTCGGACTAGTCGATGCTGCGATCAAATTGGACAAAATTTGGACGCCATGGCACGCGACGAGCTTGGTCTGGTTTTCCGTGTCCATCATGAGGTTGCGAAGGGCGCGCACGCACAGCGCCAGCGTGACGTCGCATGTGATGCGGTTTAGAAGCTCCCGAATGGCACCGATCATACTCTCCCGTGTCATCACTTCGACGCCGAGCCGCGACGCACTCAAGTTGGAAATGGCGCCCGTGGCGTACCGTCTAATGTCCTTGCTTTCTGCCCGCGACAACGAGATCAAAATGGCCACGATGTTGCCGTCGTCCTTCAGCATAAACTCGGCCACTTGAGCGTTGCATGACAAGTTGCTCAGTGCGTTCGCGCAGTACACGCGGGTTTCCGGATCCCGCGCTTTGACCAGTGACGCAATGGTTGTAAGCGCGCCTATCGTACAAGGTGAGCCATATCAAGTTGTTTTATAGTGGCTAACAACCTTCGTGCAGAAGCTGGCGCTCGTTGCCAGCAACGGCGCTGACGTTGCTCAGAATCCCACACACGAGTCGTTTCATTTCTTTGGAATGGTCCGCCTGGAACATCGTGCTTAAGATGCGCACGATTTCCATGTCCACGAGACGCTGGACCTTGCCCAGTTCGAGGGAAATGTTGTAAATGGATTGGAGGCACAGTTCCCGGATGGTGTCGATCTCGAGCTTGGCGAGTTTGATTAGGGCATATAGGACACCATCGACGACCAGCTTCTCGCGCGTGTCGTCGTGGGTGAGGAGGTTGAACAGCACTTGGGCACATTTCAGTTTGGTCTCGTCGCTGTTGACTCGAAGCAGCGCCACGACGATAAAATCGCTCACGGTTTTATCGGCCCAGATGCGGTCAGGCGTCGCGCCCCTCTACACTCTGTCACATCGGATTCTTCGTCTGATGCTGGTTTGTGTACCTCCATGGCCAAGTTGCAGAGGCCGATGGCCGCGTACAGCTGCGTTTCGTGATGGCCGGTTCGCATCATGCTGTTCAAACCCGGTGCCACGTCAGGGTGGTTGGCCAGCAATCGACGGCCTTTCATGCTGCCCGACATCCACGAAAATGCCAGCGCGCACCGCAGCGTCTTCACCATCGCACTCACGTCGCTGCGACTGGACGAGCTCGACGAGATAGTCTACACGTCGTACCATTGCATACCAAGTCAAGCCACCATAGACAAAACACACCAAAAACTGATATATGTGTACTACTTTGCATGCATACACTACATTTCATGCAACGTCGTAAGCTGTTTCTTACCTGCGTGGACGTGAGGGCCAACAGAGCGGCAAAGTACCCCGGGTGCATCATTGCGACATCGACCAGTTTGCCCAGCATGGACGCCGCAAACGACTGTGCGCGGGTTAGGTATCGCGCGCATGCCTTGGACCGCACCGTCGTGTGCACCTACACTTCCACCACCACGTTACCGTTTCCCTTCCCATTATGGGAAAGTGGTACATGGATATCGTGACGATGATAGAGTGGCGAATGGTTTGTACCTGTAAGAACCGGAGGACAGCGTCGACTGCGCCGTCATCGACGAGGACGCTGCGACCTTTGTCGTACGACGCCATGTTGGACAGCAGCGCCAGCGAATGCATCCACATGCGATGGCTCACGGCGGGTTGGGTCGTGGAAATCGGTTCCGTGAGCACCGTGATGGCTACGGTTTGCGTGCCTTCGTAGAACAAAGCGGCGGCGTTCTCGATGTCCGTGGACAGCTGGAACAGCGCACACACGCACGCGGCGCGCAGGTCCACACGGTCAGCGCACCGGTCGGCGAGGTTGATGAGCGCGACAATGACACCCTGGCCGACCAGCTTTGCCTTCATACCTTTGTCCATGGTCAAGCTAAGCAGTGCAAACGCGCACGACTTCTGGATGTCTGGGTGCGGGTTCTCCGAGTACGCGACGAGCGCGGGCACGACGCCGTCATCGACCATGGTCTTGTACGTTTGGGGGTGTAACATCAGGTTGCACAATGCGACGACGCAGTCCTGCTTGACCACCATGTCCACTTTCGTCGACGACATGAGCGAAATGAGCGGGCGCACGCAGCCGTCCGCGACCATCTGCACGCGGCACGATTCGTGGGACGCCAAGTTGGACAAGATCAGCGTCACCACCTTGGTCGTGTCGTCGTGATGCATGGTGAGCAACGCCAGCACCCGCGGGACAAATCCGGCCGACACGAGGCGCGGCTGCACCTTGGCGTTGCAGCTAAAGTAGCTGAGGGTGATGGCGCACTGCATGTGGATGTCCAGCATCACGGATTGGTCGGGCGTGAGGGGCATTAACGACGCCTGTAATCATGATTGTTCCACAGTTAGGTGGTCGTTTCGTTAGTTCTCACGGGGTGTCGTACGTACGCTTTCGTTTTGGATCCATTTGGCTTTAAGCACGTACAACCCGTGCAAGTCCAACGAGGAAGCGTCAGACGACGAGCCTCCTTCGGGGGTGTGGGCTTGCTTGGCGAGGTAGCGGTGCGGCAGCTCAAACAACTCGACCAACACGGCGAGCGCGCCGTTCTTGACCATGCTTTCCTGGTTGGTGCGCACGGCCGCGAGGTTGCACAGCACGGCACTCGCGAATTCACACACTTGGATGTGGTGGTACGAGCACAGGATCTTTAGGGCCAGCATCGCGCCATCCTCGACCACGTTCACTCGGGTGGTGGGCATGATGGACAGATTCAGCAACCCCTTGGCGCACACCTGGTCGAACCAACCAACCACAATCACGACGTGAAGAACTACAGGTATAGACGTATATAGATCGACACGGAAGGAGGAAAATAGATAGAAAATGGCGTAGAGAGTATTGCATGGGGGAGGAATGGCTGGCTAAAGTGTAGCAAGGAAGTTGCAGTGGTACCAAGTTGGTGGCGGGGTTATCCACTTTGACAAGCGAAATGAGCGTACTCATCACTGTGTCGCTGGACGTGCTCCGAGGAATGACGGACAGATTGATTAGCGCCTTCATACACAACTCCTTGAGCTCGTCGTTGGCGACTGCCATGAGCTGCAGCAGCGCTATCACACACCCGTCGTGGACGAGGTGAAAGTGCATGTCTTCGTCGCCTGAAAACCGAAACAACGTGTGCGCACAAAATAGTTTGCTCGTGATATTGTTGGCGTGGGCGAGTTCCAACACGAGGGGAATCGCTCCTTGATCTATCATCAACGCCCGGGACCCCGCCGTCATGGACAGGTTTAGCAGCGTCGCCGCGCAGTACAGTCGGACGTGGACGTCGTCGCTCCCGAGGTTCTTGAGCAGCCCCGACACAATCGGCACCGCGCCTTCCGCTGTGTAGAAGTAGAAGGAGTTAGTCGTCTTATTTGTATGCAATGCAACATGTGGTGGCTACAGACCGAGCATTTGCGCTTCGTTGTGGGGATAGCATGAGACGTTGTACAGTCCTTCGGCACACTTGAGCTTCATGTCTTTGGACAAGTTGGCCGTCGACTCTTTGTCCTTCAAATGCGCGAGCAAATCAAGTTCCTTCTCGGCTACAACCCGCATGTCTTCGTTCTGTTCCCGTTGGAGTTTGTGCACTTGTTTGGATTTTTCCATTCGCGACAAGTAAATCAACCCCTAGGACCTATTAGTTGCTGCCGCAACTACAAGTATGGCCACTGACGGCGTACCTCGTCGTAGTGCCCCCTCGTGTAGAACAAGTCGCCCGTGGACAACTTGTCGTCCATGCTCACGGTATTCCTCTGACGAGGATCTAGCGATGATGGAGACAACAACCCTGGAGCTGATGCAGAGGAAGACATGGCATTGGCCTGCACTGGTTGGTCAGCGTCGTCCACGTCGCCGCCGCCGTTGACTTTTCGAAATTTGTCTTGCGCGTCTTGCCGACGCTTCTTGCTGGTTGCTTCGGTGCGAATGTGTTGCAGAAGCGCGCGAACGAGGTCGTCTTTCTCGGGATGGTCGCGCCAGAAACCACGTTGCCGGTGCAGTTTCCAGTGCTTGACGAGTTCTTTGAGCTCTTCCACGCGAATCGGTGAGTTGTGCGGGTCTCGGTTCCGTGGAAACAAGTTGTACTTGATCAAGTACACCCGCAACCCGTCGATTTCTTGGTCCCGGCGAAGGGCCGCCAGCCGCTGCTCCAAGTTCTGGGCGCATTTCGGCGGGTGCATTGTGTCGTGGCAGTGCCCTATTTTTGACCTGCTACTGGTAAACAACATGCCATGAAACCGATTCCATACCAATTGGTTTTGGTGGCAGTTACACATATGTACAAATTCGAAAGTTGCGAAATAACGTTTTTTAACATCGATTGACGCACTGGACATGTGAATGAAGCCGAATATTAATACCGCTGCGGACGTCATTATGGAGACAAATATCGCAATATGCTCTTGTCGGTATATCTATGCTGCTCTCGAGCAGAAGGGCAAGTAGCATCGCGTACAAGCTGGAGATGGTGAGGCAAAAAAGTGCAACAAAAACGCTCGAATTGACTGTGAAAACGAGGTACGGATGTGTGAGCGATTATCCGGACTATCCGCCTGCCAACAATCAAAATGAGCAAGAAGCACACGGCCGACGCCGACGAGGATGACGTCGTGGTGTTCAACACCGAGGCATATTCCGTCGTGTCCTCATGGATATCGAAGGCTGCGATAACAGAAGAAGACATCGTGACCCCAAAGTTCTCCAAGCCATTGTACACCAAGCCGTCGTCGTCGTCCATGACCTTCGCTACGGTATGCATGAGCCTCATCACGACCTACAGAATCCAATACGTATGCACGTGATGGTGGGTCGTGTAGGACGAAGACAAGTTCCTAGCATCCAAGATCCTGAAAAAGAAGCGGCAAGACGTCGTGACAACGGCCCGCGACAACGACAAGAATGATGTCGACGACGACGAAACGTCGTTTCGACACAAAGGACAGAGCTCGGTCCATGGCGCGAAGAAGCAAAAGACACTCAGCGTCCAAGAGAAGTTGCTGCAGTCCCTGCGTGAACAGCAAGAGCGACGGAAGCTGAAAAACAAGAAGAAGAAAGATAACAGCAAGAAAGCAACCACCTAACGTGTTACAGTATACCCCGAGAGTTTGTGCTGACATCGTTATAGTATTTCGAGTCGACGTAGCAAGGTGGATGGAATTTAGCCATTCCACATACAAGCTTCCTCCTTACGTTCCTGATATGGCGGCTGCGCTGAACGCGGCAAGTTTGAGGTACATCGCATTGGTTACATGGTAAATAGAGTCGTCATAGGAAGGAATAGTTCGGGGTGCGTTTACTCTTCCGCGTCTTGTTCTGTGGACGTCATGTAGTGGAACCCGACTAGGCCAACCGTGATCACAAAGCCCAGGGCGTTGACGAACTGCATCAACGCAGCATCCATTTCATCACTACAACATCACCAAAGGAAGAACTTAGGATGAGAGCTCGCATGCATGCAGCATCATTCGCTCATCGACGTACTTGGTCATCTGTGTATGGTGGCGGCGCTTTAGCGAGGGGTGGAAATTGTAAACTTGAAACAAATGGAGAAAATATTGGCAAATCTGAACCAAAATGTGCTGTCGAAGGTTTATCCCGAGGTTTCGTGGTTTATCCCGCCCAAAATTCATGAAATACAGTGCAATTGTTTTTATCGATTGTAAAAAACGAGGGAATATTTCCGGATAAACGTACAAATTCTACAAATCACCCATGTCAAAAACCTTCAAACTCCATGACGGTGACGTCGCCGTGGCGACATGCAGCCAGCGTGGCGGTGGGTACCCTCATCCTATTCTCCGTTGGATCTGCCTACGTGATATCTGCATGGAACAATGAGATGAAGGACATGCTCGGCATGACGCAAGTCGAAATCACCGCCGTCGGCTCGTGCTTTACGTTTGGCCAGTTCAACTTGATCTGGGTCGGCATCTTCTACGACCACTTTGGGGCCCGGTATTCGTTTTTGGTTTCTGCAACCTTTTTGGCCACGTTCTACTGGACTGCCGCGTGGCTGACCACGGCCCCGTTGGCTCCACATTGGATGATGGCGGCCACGTTCGCCTGCATCGGGTTCTCGCATGCGTTCCCAACCCTTTCGGCCATCGCCGCCACGGAAGGGCTCTACGGAGACGCACATCGCGGCAAGATCATGGGAATTCTGGCTGGAAGCTACAGCGGCGGCGGCGCGGCCTTTGCCTACATCTACCACGCATGGTTTGACCCCCACGTCGGCGACTTCTTTACGTTTATGGGGTGGGAGCTCAGTGTCCTGTGCCTGCTTGGAGCTGTGTTTATCCAGTCAAGTTCCCACCTCGACAAGCCTCAATCGCCCACCGTTGATGAAGAGACTCCGCTCGAACTAAAGGGCAAACTCGAACACAACATCACGTTGTGGCCGTTGCTCCAGACCGCCCAGTTTTGGCATTTGTTTGTGGTCGTGCTGGTTGGTGTGGGTAGTCCGCTGTTTGTGATGAACAACTTGAGCTTCCTGGTGGAATCCAACGGCGGAGACGCGGCGCACGTCCCGACACTGGTGCAGCTCTTCTCCTTGTTCAACCTCGTGGGCCGGTTCGCGATGGGAGCTATCTCCGATGCGTGGCTACCCACTGTCCCTCGAACGCACTTCCTGACTGCCAGTGTCGTGTTGGTGGGGCTCGTCCAGCTGTCGTTCGTAGTGTGTCCTGT